TATCAAAGGGAGCAACCACCTACTTGTCGTGATGCTACTTACAATGATGGCTTTCTGCTATGTCCGACGTTTGTGCACTGGGTTCGATCCATCACTGTGGAGGAGCAATATCTTTTTGCTGACCACACGCCAGTCCAACTGGATATTCAGTTTCCGGTGGAGATGCCGACACGATATATCTGGCGACTGCCACAAAGTTGGACAGCCTATGCACCTTCGCCTCGTGACTTGGAAGAACAATACTCTCTCCGACGCACTGCTGCTCCCACATCCTTTGTCCAATGGGCCAACACTTGTGAGCAAGCTGTCCATGGCGCACTGCAGATATCGCACCACCGGGATCCTCTTCGGCAACCATATCCTGGGCTTCCACGACGAGCTCGCGGACGTTGCCAACCACGCAAGCGGGTACAAGTTCCACTTTTCCAGCCTATCCGGCCAGCAGGCGCATTCCAATATGACCCACAAATTGATGGATCCTCTGCAATCTTCCGGAAGGCTGTACGTCAACTGAGAAGGATTCAGAGCCTGCGCAGACGGTTACAGAAACTGGCAGATGATCCAACGCTGACTCCGGACTGGAAGCAACTCACCATCGAGTGGCAGGTCATTGGTTCTGCTTTATTTGATCGGAAAAGATTTGCGGATTGGCTTGCTACCTGGCCGGAACTGCCACTCCAAGAGACCTTCTTCCCAGACCTGCAGTACCTTGACCAAGTTTGTCAGATCACCAAGTATCACGTCCAGCACCTGGAATCTGCAGAAAGAAGCCGACTTCAAGCAGCGCACCGGTATGAACGCTTGTATGATCAGCGATGGTCCAGTCACTCAGGAGCTTTCCGCAAGATACGTCCAGTTTCCCACCCGTGTCTCACCATGGTTCGGAGGAAAACATCGCATGATATTTCCTCCCTTCGAGGAGCTGGTACTGGGCTGCTTACTTGTGTCATCCCAAGTCTGCCGCACCCACATCCATTGGCAGACTATCGTCTGGGGAATCTGCAATTACAGCTCTGTGCACACAACAATCAGGAGTATGACTTCCTTCAGATTGAAGCAGATCATTCCCTCCCAGAGTCACTGGTGTTGGAAATCATCATTCCTACCACGGATACCAATCAGGTAGCAGATGAACTGAATGAATATTGGTCACAGTTCTGGACGCGGGATGACCATAATACCATATGGAATTCCTTTTCCACGCTGCTACAGAGTACACCTTCATTGCCACCAATGGAGAGTCTGCTCACTCTGGATGAATGGAAACAAGCAGTTCGACACCTCAAGCTCAACACAGCTAGGGGTGTCTGCGGCTGGTTTGCACAAGAGCTGCGAGATTTGCCGGATGTGGCACTGGATGATCTTCGCCTTCTCTTCATGGACCACCAGACCTCCATGCCGGCGGCCCTCATGCAGGCACGTACTATCCCTCTGGGGAAGACATCACATCCAGAACAGGCCTCCTTGACCCGTCCCATTACGATCTTGTCATTACTATATCGCTTATGGGGACGCGCCACTACAGTGAAAATCCTGCAGTTCTGGTCCAAGCAATTTTCTCCAGCAGTTATCGGATTCTTGCCAGCTCGTTCGATGGCCAATGCCATGATAGGGTTTCAACGAAAACTGGAGAAAGCACATATGGGTCACGAACTCTCCTATGGTGGACTTACACTGGACCTCGTCAAGGCGTTTAATCTGCTGGGACGGGAGCCTGCATCAGAAGCTATGCTGCACTATGGACTCCCACCGGACTGGATCCAATTCTGGTACGAATCCATTTCGTCTATGGATCGTGTCTGGGAGATCAATGGCAGCCTCTCCCACCCCTTTCACCCGACAACGGGGTGCCCGGAGGGCGATACATGGTCGGTGGTAGCTATGTTAGCTCTGTCCAATGTGTGGGTACATCTACTTGAGGCACAATCCCCACCAGTGGCTCCGCTCAGCTATGCAGATAATTTGGGATGGTCTGCCCAAGAACCAGCAGCTCACACTGCTGCCCTTTCGGCTACAATCGCCTGGTCCACGGCATTGCGCCTCAAAGTTGACTGGCAAAAGACTTGGGTTTGGGCGACGGACGCCAAGCACACACTTGCCTGGAAGACACAACGCGGTCATTTTCCAGAGCTGCAGGATGTCCTACAGGTCACCAATGCGAGGGAGCTCGGCTACATGATTGCCTATTCCAAATGTCAGTACAAGAAGACGTTCTTTGCACGCCATGCTGAGGCGATAGAGCAGTGCCGTCGGATAGCTCGTCTACCACATGCAATAGCTGTCAAAGGCAACTTGTTGAGAGCTCCTCTATCGCGAATGCTCTATGGCACCGAGCTGCATATGGTGTCACTTGAACATCTTCGACAACTGCGTACAGCAATGGCCAGAGCCTTGTTGGGATCTCAGGCACAGCCGAATCCCTACTTGGCCACAGCTCTTCTCCATCGACATATTCTTGATCCACATTTTCAGCTCTTGTATCATGCCTTTCGAACCCTGAGGAGATATCTGTGGTCCCTCCATGCTGATGAACGATCTCAGTTTTTTAGCCATGTGATCAGCCATACAGGTCAACCATGGAAAATTTTTGGCCCAGCGGGAACCATCAAGTATCACTTGGACTTTCTTGGATGGACATTGACGAAACATGGCCACATTCTGACAGATGCATTTGGCAGGATCTCTTTTTTGGATTGTCCACTGGAACGCTTGAAGCATGAGCTTATACTGGCCTGGGAGCGACACCTGCAACTTTTGCTCTCTTCCCGCAAAGAATGGACACAGACTCCACAGATTGACATCCCGACCACCGCATCGTTATTTTCTGCTCTACCTGCAGATCGTCAACGTATTGTGGCAGGAGAACTGACCGGTTCCTTTCAGCTTCAGTGTCGGAAAGCTCAGTGGGTTGAAAACCTCGATGATCGCTGTCCATTGTGTGGTGACGAGGACACAGTTGCCCATCGTCGTCTCCATTGTCCTGCTCTGCAAAAAGCTCGAGTCCCACATCAAAGTTTGGTGACACATTTGATGGACCATGACAATATCCTCACTGCCCTACCGGTTGCCTTCAGGCACCCGGAGTCTAGTTTTGACTTTTGGTGGAGCCAGAATGTCCCTCCAGCAGTGCCAACTCAGGCAGCACAAGAGAGACTTAAGGAGGACCTGCTTCTGGGCTTAAGACCGTTGGTCTTCACAGATGGATCCGCTGCGCCGCCGGCCTGCCCTGAGGCCCGACAAGCAGCTGGTGCAGCAGTCCTGTTGCCACGTCATTTGACTCTTGAGCCTGAACAAATTGCTCGTCTCCTGGATACGTACTTTTCCACATCCTGCATTCCAGCAGAATTTGTGACCATGATGGTAACGCCTGCACAGGGTGCCCAAACCATTCCCCGTGCGGAACTTGATATGGTCCTGCAGGTCGTTCGTCAGTGTTCTCAGGTGGAAATTGTCACGGACTCGCAATACGTCATTGACCAACATCAGAAGCTTTTGCAAATGACCAATACAGCACTCGCGCAAGCCCAACCAAATTTCGATCTCCTACAGCAACTCTATGCCATTCAGCGCACTCCTGGTTATGACGTTACTCTGACCAAGGTGGCATCACATCAGCTGCACCATGGCCCACCCACATGGCAGAGGCTGTTACAACTTGGCAACGAAGCAGCTGATCAAGCTGCAAAGGAGGCTCGAAAACAGTTGGTTGAAGCTTGTCGACAAGTCCCCCCAGATCATTATCGAGAAGAACGCACCCGGGTAGTGGACCAGTTTGCCCTTTGCTTTGACATTGGATGCCTGCGAAAGAATCTTCTTCAGTCCACTACAGAAGACTCCTCGGCAACAGTGGTCTCAGCTGGAATTTTAGGTCCGCCAGAGGGACCTTTTCATGTCTTTCCACCTGACCTGCATCAGGTCCCTTTGCTTCGATTCAGCTTATGGGGATCCGGCTTCAGCGCTGGGATCCTGTACTGGGCCACGCAGGTTCGCTGGCCAATTGACAGCTTCAACACAGATAAATCTGAGGTCGCAACAGCAGGAGTTACATGGATGGAATTGCTGCTCGACTGTCAACATGTTTTGCAGTTGCATTGGCCGCATAGCACGGTCAGCTCCAAACATCCACCATTGCTTCGACACCCAGGGCTACATGGAGTCAACCAGGTTGATGTACCTTTTACCTGGAATCTTAGCAATTTTCGGCGTGCTATTCGTCACCTCGAGGATCTTCTCCAGGTCAAACTCCTGCCGACGGCACGGGCCACTGTGAATTCTTTGTACCGCCTTGGTGCGCGAGGCCACAAAAAGGGAATCCCATGGCGGCCCATCTTGTGTTGTCCCATGGAAGTTGAGCGGTCGCTCCAACAGTACTTCCGGGAGCATCCACATTGCTCCCAGTTTCGACATCAACCGATTCTGCACCATCGACCTCCGATGTTTACGGTCAACTGGCATGAAGAGGAGACATCATTCGATCCGGATATCGGCAAACGTAGGCTAGCCCGTTTCACATCGTGGAAACAGCGCGGCAGACCTTGCCCGCTGAATTTTGGTCATCCAAAGTGAGACCTTCGCAGACTACGGACCTTCCTTGCCCTGTCCGCGGGGGGGGGGAGGAATCACAATCAGTGCGCCGGTGTTCGTTTTGTTGTGCACCGGTTGTTGTCCGATTGGGGGTCATTGATCATCCAATTCCATCGGATTCTTGTTTGGCAAGCAAAGAGCAGGTCTCTCTTTCATCGTAAACTCCAAGTACCGCACAATTTCTCTATCAATGACGTAGCAGTTCAGTGAAATTGAAACCACCGAGCACCAAGAAGAAATGGAGAAGCCATGCCAAAAATGGAGTCGCCACTCTTCAGTCACAGAAGCATAGTAACTATGTATAACTATATACTCAAGTCACCGGAAATGAAACAACTTCAATTCACCAAATACTTCGATTCTTCATGCGCTCCCTTGCTTCTCCCCATCTTCCACCCGACCTTCCACCGACCCAGACCTTGCGGTCTCTGATCGCTGGCAACCACGCACCGACGGGGTCGACTAGTACGCAGCTGCCCTTTGGGAATTTGGAGGAGTCGAGCGGGGGGGCTGATCCTGGATCAACGCATGTGGCGTGGATGTTGAGGCCATCGGTAGGGAGGCCATCGTTTGGAGTCCAAAGATTCCGTCGTCAATCTTCAGGGTTCCATGGGTTGTGTAGGAGCAGCAAGTCAAGCCTTTGGGCCTTTTAGGTCATTCAAGCATTTAAAATTTAAGGCATCACAAGCACGAGGGCTGACGAGGAGAACGCATCTCCTCGAGTCATCAAATGAGTGGGTCACAGGCATTCCATAGCATTCCCTCCAAGCAATCATGCCAATCCATTTGGACCTTGGGGATTCCACACCTACCGTTCTGTTACAGCCTTTACTCATTCCTTCGAAGCATGACATGAGCCAGGGGAGCATGGAGTAACCAGGCTTCGCCTCGTATCGAAGCCCTCTTTTCCTGATACAAACGATGCCCTCAGAGACTCCGCCATAGCCCTGCAGGTCAGGTCAAAGCGGTCAGTTGGACCTCATTGGAAGAGATTTTACATCAGTTGGACCTCGTTTGGGAAGCAAAGCTTGGAATCTCAGCACAAGCGACATCATCCACCTGTATCCGACTCCAACCACTAAAAACCCGCCACTGATGAGGGATTCCCCCTAAAACAATCACTTTGAAGCATCGCTTTGCAACAAGCATGGCACCATGCTTGCATCTTCTGACTTCAAGTGAACAAAGCAACCCCCCCTCCGTCGCGCGTCTTTTTCTGTCCAGGACGTGGATAGCTCGGAGAGCAAAGGCTCGGACAAGACGCCCAAGACCCCCGACCGTGTCCCGGACCGTGACGGTCCGCGGGTCTCCGGTGGGAAGAAGGCGCGGGCGCGAACCCACGGGATCGCGTTTGGGTGTGCGAGAAGAGGAGAGGATGGCGGGGATAGGTTGGGGGGGATTGTGACCACTGGACGATTACGGCTTTGGTCTGGGATGCACAATTTGGTTAAATCTTCTAAGATTGTTCACTTGTGGCTTGGGGACCTTGGGTCAAACTGGTCGACCACCCAGTTCGCACGTGTCTTTTGGCCGCTTCATGGTTTGCATGGAACCTGAACATCCTGAACTAAGAGCCCCGGGGAAAAGAATAAAACAATGAAGTCCGGAAGTTCTCCTGTAGTACAATCCTATCATCCATACATTCCAATTCCATACTATTATAGATTATAAACATTATGCATCACACAAAATTGTTCCCTAATTATGTTTCCTCCATCACTCTTGCCTCTCCTTGTGCCCCCCCGTTATGTCGGCTTCAGAGGCCTACTTGCAACTGCCAGTTGCGGGACTGAAACGAGGAGGAGGACCTCCTGCATCACTCGGTGCGGGTGATTACGGTTTTCATTCAGATAATGGATATATGGTTATGGTGGTGTTAAAGGACAAATTGGATGTTTCAGCAGTAGGAATGCACATGTTGTTGAATTTTTGTATGGTCTTGACCTGAGCCCTGTTTCTTTATAGTTTCATTCTACATGCACCTTGGCCCTAGAAAGAGCCGCGACGATGAGGCAGGCTCAGCTCTAAAGTTCTGAAAAGGGTTCTTCCTGAAAGATAGAAAGAACAAAAAGTCTCAACAATGCAGATCCATGCTACCTACGCAGCCAGGCTTGCCAAAACAAAATCGTGCTGAAGTGAGTACATGCATGTAAGGATTGGGTGGTCAAAGAGATCTGTTCGTTCAATTGGAATCTTTTGAGGCTTGCACACATGTTAGATGTCGTACTGTGCCACCATGTTTGGCAGGAACGTACCCAAACGTCCCAAGATGTTCGTGTGCCGGAGTTTTGAACTTGGACCACAGAAGGGGCTAAGACGGTTGCCTTGTATTGGATGTATGGATTTCGGGCGTTGGAGCTGAACTGGGACTCTCAAACTTGTCAGACCGATGTCGGATCACATCGGGACGCCAGGAATCAAAGATATGTCATCGTCGCCCTTGTGGCGGCGGCGCCAGGGCCAGAATAAGTCCGGGTACCCGAAAACGCTGAGAACATGTCCCTCGCCAGGGGGGGAGGGCCATCAGAGGGTTGGCACCTTAGAGCTTTGGAGCTAGCCTTGGGTGATGTTGTGGCTACAAACATTCACAGATGGGGAATTTGTTAAGTAAATGTTATCGAACATGTTTCCTAAGCCTCTATTTGACCATCCTGCCCATGTCAGGTCCGAAAGTCAGGCTTCGACAACGATGTCCTTGGTGGAAGCTTGCCGAGAAAGCCGCACCTTTTGGTCAACGGATTGGTTAAAGGGAACTAACATCTATAGGAAACCATTTTCACCTCCAAATATATGGGTCGTTTCCTGTAGATGTTCCTTTATATACACCAATTCTGGGCTTTTGAGGCCCAGAATCGAGTGTAGGGGTCTGAGTTTCGAGGTAGAACATGACGCCCAGGCCGCATTGCGGCGATGGTGGAGGTGTTGGGGAAGTATCGTTCAACTGCGGACCACCACCTGGCTTTCGCCTTCATGATTTCGGATTAGTTTTTTTATTTTCGTGACGGATGAATCTCCAAATAACCTGGCTAAATGTGTTGTATGTTTTTTCTCCCAGTTCCTTGAGCAAACCCAAGTGAAGCATGGGACGTGCTGAAGAAACAAAAACATTGTGGACGTGGACCGAAGGTTGAAGGTGAGGGTGTGATATGTGGTGCAGTCAATTGTTTTAGTTCTTATTGCAAGACGATTCAGCAGGTTGTTGGAACACATTGATGGTCAGAGCCTTTTTGGTGTGAGGATCAACTAGATCGCAGGAGGTATAGTGTAGAACCAGATCCAACTGAGCCGCTCGCTCTTTGAGAAGCAAGAAAAAGGAGCTGTTTTGGAGACTAGAAACAAGAAGCTACTAGTAACAAGTGCCACGCTAGTAGTAACAGGTGCCTTACTAGTAGTAACAAGAAGCTATTAAAGAAACAAGAAGCTACTAGGGGCTCCTGTGGAGACGGTTCTGGAACACATCGATCCCGCGGGTCCCACGGAACCCCGGAAATGAGTTCGGCGTCAGGAAGTCATGAATGCCCAAGCTGTCCCTCGGCTGATAGGACACGGTTTTCTTGCTGCCTCGTTCTCCCTCGTTCACATTGGGGCCACCACAGTGAGAAGATTAAAGCAAGTTGAAGGTCCAAAATCCTGCACCTCCTCAGAGGCGTCGCAAAAACATTGAACGAGGGGGGCGCAGGGCTATGCAACCGGTGTAGGATTTCGTCCAACAGGTCGACTCGAGAGGGTTAGGATGGACTCAAGAGGGTACACAAAGTGGACTGCAAAAAACGTTCGATGGGTGATAGATTGGTTCTTAAATTATGCAAGTTGGATGACAATATTTGTGGTTTTGAATTTAGACGCCTTTGATTTTCCTCCGTTCTTCGACTTTTCTTTGGCCCTTTGTCGGGTGCGTGCAAGCCTTTCAGGGATTTAGACAGTGTCAGGAAACATGACCAAAGATGTAGCTGCAACCAGGATGGTTCTTGGATGCATTTGGATGCGGATCAAATGGATCAACTCAACCAAGTAGATGATAGCCACCAGGCTTGTGCATGACTTCATTGTGATAGGAGATGAATGGACATTACATACTATATATTAATTATATATATTTTGTTATATTGTACCAATGGGTGGTGCAGAACGGTGCAGCCTGGAGTCTCCGTCCAAAACACCGTGCTTCATGGTTCTCTTCTTCGCGACCACAAACGACCAGAAACGGCTGAGGATCGTGGGGTTAGCTTGACCGAGATGTTGAGCCCGCGCGACAGCAGTCCCTTGCCGCTGCGGCTTGGTGGTCTAGTGAAAGGACATGGGAACAGGAAGCGGTGAACTACACATAATCATCTATGTTTCAAGTACACTAGTTACTAAGAGCAAATCAAAACTGGGCATGCTGGTTTCTTGTTTCTTCATCATGTGATGCAAAATTTCAGATAGCGATGGCCTCCAGCCTACTAGCAATGGCCTCCAACCTAACAGCAATGGCCTCCAACCTACTGGCTATGGCCTCCAACCTAATAGCAA